ATACTTCATTCCAGCTTTGGCCAATTCCCATTCCAACTTCAAACACTCATAACTTATGCGTTTTAAACTCATTTCTAATGATCTTTATATCAATACGAGGGTGGGAACATACTCTATAATTCTATTAAATCAATTATCACTGTCTTAATACGGGTCTTAATCGATTAAGTCACAAAGTTGGCCCAAAAAGCATAGAATTCCCGTTTTTCCATTTTGACTGAAAATGCATATTCTTATGCATTATTTCTCTTGAACTTACTCATCTAACCTCTTCTAAGTGACTTATACTTATCTTGACCATTTTGATGATGTCACAACTTTCATATTCTCATATTTTTTCTCATAATGAACCATTTTACCTTTTTGGTCAATATTTGATTAAAAGTCAAATGTTTCTAAATTTTAGGTTCTTACATAAAAGTAACTTTCTAAGAGTGTCACACCCCAAACCGGAACGGCGGAAACGTTCGAGGGCGGAGGACGTCATGTACAGTATCACAACAGTTGTATAATAGTAATCAAAGCAACAACAACCATTGTATTGATAACATAGTATTTACATTGTATTCATAACATTTCTTGTTTAACATTAATACTATAGCAAAAGATAAGACAAGATGCTACTATGATCCGTCTTCGAAACGCCTGAGAGGGTACCTGTCTACTAACTTTCCTGAGAATACAAGTGGTTTGAAAAAGTGTCAACATTAAAGTTGGTGAGTTCATAAGTATTTTGTTTGAAAAGGTATGTTCTTTGTTATTAAAAACGTTACTGTATTCTTCCAGAAAATCCAATATTTTCTTAGTAAATAAATCGTATTCTTGGTACTTTGAGGCCAAAAAGTATAAGTTTCTTATGTTTATAACTTGTGATTCGAGGCTCTGATTCCTGTAATTTTTATTACCTGTACTGTTACCTCCTATGATTACTTAATGTATATAAATTATATATGAGTAATATCGAACGGACAGTCGATTGGGTGATTCTGCCCTAAGCCCACAACCAAACAAGGAACAGGAAGTAAGGCGGAAATCACACATCCCACTGCCTATCGGATATTATTTATATATAACTCTGATGTATACACTAAAGAATCATAGAATTAACAATTAGGGGTTCTTTATATACTATTTTGTAAATAAGTGTTAAATCTTTCATAAAAACGTTCTTAGTTCCACTCTTTCTATTGTAAAACATTGTTTTCGGTAAGTAATTGTATCTGTTTTCAGAAAGTCAAAATTTTAAACTGTTTACTTGTAAGTAATGATGTTTATCCTAGAAAATCCTGTATTTTTCCATGAAACCGGTTTGTAGTCTTAAACGTTCCAAGACCGAAATGTACAAGTGTAATTACCATACTTAATTTAATGATACCTAGTTTTATTCATAAGTAAAACTAGTTGAAATTGGGTTTTGCCCTGAAATCCGAATGTAAAGTTAATATTCAAATAAAATTATTTGAAAATATATTACTCGTAAATAAGTCGTTGTTTTCTCATTGTGAGTTCTTATAACCATACTAACCCAGTCGTCCTGATCGCGACGTTTTTTAGGCGTCGGAATGTTAACGACATTTGTCACCCCAGGCCTGCCGGCCTGACTGTAGCTAACAGTCGGGATGTGGGATTGTCAGTCCCAAATAGATCTATACACAAATATCTCGCTCTCCCTACAAGAGACTCTGGTTATAAATCACGACTTTTACCAGTACTTAGATAAGTACACAAAGACATATCACAAATTGCTGCAACGTTTTTACGAATAATAACTGAAAACCCTTTTTGTTTATCTGTTATCTGAAAACCCTTTTTGTTTATATGTTAACTTGTACTTTGTAAAATAGATCATTTGTTCCATAGACTATACCTATTATAGTTTATAAGTTTTGTTTCCGTGTTGTAACCTGAACCTTGTAAAATAGTATCTTTGTTTCATAAACTATACATATTATAGTTTATAAGCTTGTTTCTGTATTTTTGTGAAAACCGTTGCGTTTTAACATGTTTAGTAAAATCATTTGTGAATTTAATAGTAACGATATTTTTCGTATTTAGTAAATTTCACGTTTAATTTCTTATTAACGGTAAGAAAACATAATAAGAAATTTTATATTTTTAAACACAATATTTCTTGTGTTTTACTTGTATTCTCCCCCTAAAACAATTTAAAAATCGTGAAAACGTAGGGGTATGAACTCACCTCGTATGTAGTCGCGATTAGTTAATATGATAGTAACGGTGTCTTCGGGCTAGAACACGGGAAGTTATTCATGTCCTAATTGTTTTAAACATATAGTAAGGTGTAAATATTATGATCTAATAACACAAGTGTTTTATAAAACACTAATTAATATGTAGAGAACTTACGATCAAATATGATAGTTCTTGATCACTGGGAACGTATGAAGCTAAATTTGGGAGAAAAGAAGTTTGATATTTGAGAGAAAGTTATGGAGTGTTTCATTCACTGGAAATGTTTAGATGATTCAAATTGGTATCTTAAGTATGAAGGAAATAAAAAGAATTAAAAAGAAAAGGTAGGTGCTGAGGTATTGACAAGTGAGGTTATTGGTTAGTGTGCCAAGGGTGTTCTCGGCCTATCCTATCAAACCGAGAACTAAGTTTGCGGTCAAAAGGTCCGACCAAAAAGAGTCTTCGGTCATGAGGTTTATAATTCAAGTGGTTTGCGGTTGGACTGATTTCGGTCTGAGGTGGTGGCCTTGCGAGGGTTTGCGGTCCAACTCGATTTCGGTCCGAGGAGGTGGCTTCTCATGAGGTTTTCGGTGGTTGATTTGCCATGCGAAATTTTCCGTTTTTAATTAAAAATGGTTTTTCGCTTTTAAATGCATTTTATTCCTTTACTAAAACACATATTTTAACCATAAACATTTGATTAAATAAAATGGTTTTTAATTATTTTACTCTTGTTTGACTTAGTTGACCATTTTACAGATTTGAAAATAACGGGTTGTTACAAAGAGTGTTTGTGTTATCATAACATTTAAGCCATACATTTTACTCTTAATCTTCAACTAATCAAAGAGTGAATTGATATTTAATGTGATTGTTGTTGAGCCAAACATTGTACTCTTGATATTCAACTAATCAAAGAGTTGAATTGATATTTAATTTGATTGTTGTTTTTAGAATTCCACAAGTTGTTTCTCATTTTTGTTTCTTAATTTTCGAAAACCGAAATGCTTATCGAACCAAACGTTTGGAATGAAAACATCAAAAAACCCATGATCGAACTGATTTATAGTAAATGCTTAAAAATCTATACTTTATCTACATATTATAAATGAAATATATAAGTAGTTGCTTGGTTGGATGGTTAAGGTTGTAGAGATGGGAAAGAAAAGTCATAGGTTCGAAACTTGTCATTTGTGTTGCATTTTATTTTGCAAGCTATATTTCAAGCCTTAAAGTGTCCTACAATGATGATGGAACACAAACCACATGAACATCGTCTCTTTCCTTATCCTCTATATAACATTTCTGATTAAAAAAAATAGAGTTAAGCTTATTCAAGTGAACCAAACTGATGAGTTTAGGTTTGTTTTTAAAAATTTGAAAACCAAAATATTGAGTTTGGGTTTGATTTTCGGTCGAAACTGACCCATGTTCACCTTTAGCTCTTACTATGCACGCGTTGAAGAAGAGACAATAAAGACCTAATGTTTTTACTTAGACATACAACGTAACAAACAAGAGAAAGAAAAAATGATCCCGACCTTTGATGCTCACCAAATGGACTTTTTTAAATGTATGTTGTTACTAGGGAACAAAACCATAAAAATATTTAACTTGAACCATCGATGCAAAAGTTTAAAGAAAATCATGTGAAATTAGTTAGTGAGTCAATGACTTTTTTGGTAGATAAATTCAATACTTTGTATGCTTTTCGGCCATGAGGATAACCAATGAAAATACAAGATTGAGCTCTTTCCATAAATTTGTCCCTTCCAACCGTGTTAGTACTTACATAACACAAACATCCAAAACTTTTCAGGCAAGAAACATCAAGTTTGGTTTGATGAAGTATCTCAAAAGGAATTTGATTTTTAAGAACAGTTGAAGGCATTCTATTGATCAAATGACCCGCTGTTCTTATACATTCTCCCCAATATGCATTTCCTAATCCAGATTGGATATATAATGCCCTTGCCACTTCAAGAATATGTTTATGGTTTCTTTCTACGATCCCATTTTGCTGTGGTGTATAGGGTGTAGATTTTTGATGTATAATTCCTTGAGATGAATAAAATTGAACTTCTAACCCACCAAATCACCTTCAAGATTACATATGTAATCACAGTTAGCTTCAAGATCCCATGCATTTTTGTAATCACACAATTATTGATTTGTGTATGAATGTTGATACAACCACCAATATTGCTCAATCATACACAAATACAACTCTTGCATTTCATACACAAGCTCCAATCTTTGAACCCACATTTTATCATGAGGCAAAAGGTAATCCTTCATGGGAAGAAGCTATGCAGAAGGAACTTACTGGTCTTAAAGATAATGACACTTAGGACATTGTTCATTTACCCAAAGGAAAGAAGTTAATTTCTTGCAAGTGGATTTATAAAGTGAAATATTGAGCAGATGTGTCTTTAGAAAGATATAAAGCTAGACTAGTGGCTAAGGGGTTCACACAAAAAAGTCCTTGAATCACTAACTAATTTCACAAATCACAAACTAGAAGATCATTTTTTTACGTTGGTACTCAATAATGTGAATTGATCGTTAAAACTCCGTTATTGTGAGCATTGATTCAAAATCCAGGTAGGGTTAATTATTTCTTTTTTTTTTTTTTTTTTAAATGATTTTAACTATAGAAAACCGTAAAAGAAATTGAAAAGGATAAATAAATAATTTGAAATAAAAATTGATATAAATTGATTAAATTCTTTAGGAATTATATCATAGATTTTGAGAAAAAAAAATGAGGTTTTGTCTTATTCTAACATCTACCTAGCCCACTGATCTCTGTGTTTAAAACCAACGAGTTCGGGGTGGGTTTTATGGTATGCAAAGCAGCTCAACCCTGAAGAAGAAGAAAGTATCAAATCCAAACACACGAGGATGGATTTTGAATTGGTGAAGAGTTTCTTGGAGAAAAGCAGCTCCGGTGTATCATCCGAGGATATTGATTCCATGCCTTTCAGGTTCTTCGAGCCCATGATTATGTCAGGCCTTAAAGTAGATCTCATAGAACGTGGTCGCGTCCTTTGCTCCATGAAAGTTCCTCCTCGTTTACTGGTTAGTTAGGGCATCTTTCACTCCATCGATTCAACAAAATGAACGATCTTTGTAACCCTAAGAAATTACTTTGGGGAAAATCAGACACCCTTTAGTTGCTTTGTTTTCAGTGAAATTGAAGATTCAGTAACCAATTTTCTTTTTCGAAATTATGGACGGAAGAACGTAGGTAATTCCTTGCACGGTGGAGCTACGGCTGCGCTAGTGGATGTGGTGGGTTCGTCTGTAATCATGACAATGGACAGTGTAGCGACCACCGGAGTTTCAGTAGAGATTAATGTTTCATACTTGGATGCTGCTTTTGTTGGTGTACGTATCTCTTTCATCTGTTCGTAATTCATAATTCATTACTATGAACATATCATCCTAATTCCACTTTGAAAATTTGTCATCTATGATGTTGATTGCAATCCTCTGTATATATATGGTTTTATCATAGAATGTTAATATATTCGTGGGAAAAAGTTGGTTTTTCCCCATGACTTGATATATAGCATAGGAAGATAGTCCCAAGAATCTTGAATCCTTGTTGAAATAGGATTTAGGGAAAAATGATTTGTCCTAATTTAAGAAGGAAAAAGTTTGTTCCAGATCTAAAATTATGGATTGGTTTAGCAAAGGAGATTGAAATCAAGTACTTATGTTATTGTCTTATATTGATCTGGTATGTTACTATTGTCTTTGAAAATATTTACAGACTTCTTTATATATTGACTCTTAATCTTTCGAAATGAAGGACTTGAAGCCTTTGAGTATTGCAATGTACATTTAATCAAATGATAAAAAGATTTCATGGTTTTGTTACAGGATGAGATTGAGATAGAGGCTAAAGCATTGCGTGTTGGGAAGGCTGTTGCTGTTGTGAGTGTAGAATTTAGGAAGAAGAAAACTGGAAAAATAATTGCACAAGGGCGACATACTAAGTATTTGGCTGTATCAAGTAAATTATGAACTTTAGGTGTCTTCTCATATTGAGTAAGCCCCTTAATCACAGTACAAACTGTTTGAATAAAATATTGTCTGTATAAATGATGTTTGACAAATATTTGGGTAAGTGGCATCAATATTTGGTAAATGGAGGGAAAAATAAGAGGGTCCCTCAATCACAAGACACTATATTCGTGCATACATATATGGTAATAAGTAAACAGTAAATTAAGATTTTATTCCGTTACTAGGTTATAACCCATGGACACCACGGGTGAAAAAGATAAAATTAATTTTAATTAAATTATAAGTTAATTATTGACCAATGGTAATAAAAAAATTAAATAATTTATAAATATAGTTGTTTTGTCTGTAATTTGATAATGATACAGTAGGTTGAAACTACAAAATCATAATGGTTTGAATATCCGATCGAGAATTTGTATTTATAGATATGTTAGAAATTATGATTTTCATAATGCAATAAATTTATGAATATAGTTTTTTTAAAATGAAAAATATTCATGGAAATGATATTATATGAAATTTAAACTATATTGTAAGAAAAATAAGTACATATAAGAAAACAATTATACATTAAAATAGGAAAGTAATGATCATATACTAAACTTCCCGAACCTAAAATTTTCAAATTATAAAACTTTTATTGAATTTTAAGTTTATTAATATCTTATCTATATATAAATGGATGAAAGTACATTTTCATTACAAAAAAAAAATAATAAATAAATAAATAAATAAAAACCCAAATTGCTTCCCTGTCAGGTATGATTCCCCACCAACCATACTTTTGAAAGTATGTTGCTATTATAGGAAAAAAAAAAAACAAAATAATTTGATAAACCAAACAAATAACCTATGCAACCGGAAAAAATAATGTTTGAAAGTTGGATGTTATATAAAAAAGGAATGAAATAAGACAAAAGATGATATAATGCATGTTGTTATCCCGAGATAGTTGTAAAGAAATCCAAGAATTTTGTAGAGGAGATAAATCACATTTTGAGGAACATTAAAGGTATCAGATTGTGGTTTGATTTATCTCAAAGGGTATATTATTGGAAAGAAAGAAATGTTGAGTAAATCATTGGGAAAAGTCAACTGCGAAGATAAGAAGACGATGCTTAAGAGTCAAGATGATGCAGTTTCTGAATTAGGGGGGATATGTTGGATAATCCAGAAACTGGGACAATTTTAGGCCCAGGGGTATTTTCGGACAAATTGCCATATTTTAGTTTTGGTATATGCTTAGGATTCTGTTTTCCAGTAGACGTATTTCATTAGGTTTCTTTTAATGTTTCATATAACTAAGCTCCTGTAGTTTGATCTAAATTTAAGTTTTAAGTTCTAAGTTTTGCAATTAAAAGTATTCTTTCAAATTATATTTTTTGTATCATGTTTTCCCCAATTCCTTCCTGCGTATCTGTGTGCTTGAGGTAGATTATCTCACATGTACCTTGGTGAGCAAGGTATAATCAGTAAGCTAAAGTTCTAATCCCTGTTCTGTCACCAATTCTCATTTTGTTCATATGATCAGAGTAAGTGTCCAGCGGTTTCACTTCTTCCTACCTGTTACATTAATTAGTTCTTCCTGTGATTATCTTGGTGCACAAGGTGCTTTGTGAAGCAGCCCATGTTCTAGTTTTTTATTGAGATTGAAGCATATGAAGTTTATAACCAAACAAATAAAACTTTATAAATTAAAAAGTTAAAAGCAGTTGTTTAAGCATCTAAATGTATATACATAATTTGGATACTTAGTAGAATAATTTTCCAGAATGTATCAATTAAAGATCACTAATCTAATAGAATGGAAATTCGAAATTGCAAAACATGGAAACTGGATATATTTTTGAAGGGTGTGATGGTCTTTTATTAAAAAGAATGAAAGTTAAAAGAAAAGGGAGGGTGGCGATGAGATATAAAGTAAATCAAAAGTGCTAAATGCTTGTTTAAAAATATTTTACTGCATTTTTTTATCAGATTAGTCTTTTGATTGAGTTTTTTCAAGAACTGGAGCTTGGTAGGAGGAAGTGCCTAGTGTCATACTAATAACAGGAAACACACTGTTAGTCATGAAACATATCATTCAAGCCAATTTATAAAGACGTGTGATATATAAAACTATATTCCAAACACCTCAAGATCGTCAAAAGGGAGCCTTCAATGGGTTGCAATAGTGGCGTGGCATTTCCTGTCAATAAACAAAATTAGAATAAAATTATGCTACTTAAAATCACAAGAAGAAACTAAACTATGATGCTATATTAGACAATTAAATGAAAGTATGCTGCTCTTTTCTAGCATTTAAAATTTTAAAATTTGAATGTTACATATATTTGATCTATTTTTCAAACTTATTATTTTCATTTTAATTCATGTGATAAACACATCAACAATTTTTAGTATTTCATGTCAATGCAACGATATAAACTTTATAATAAATGGATTTTATAGCATTTATTTTTCTAAATAAAATTAAATGAATTGCAAATTTTATACATAACTTTCCGTAAAAAACATAACAGTACCTACTAAAATAATACTATATGGACCAAAATGCCCTTTTGCTATTGGTTAAGATGGCACTGGTTGACAGTTGCAGAATTGAAAACTTTTCTTTTAAGTTGGTTCTTTTTTAATAATCATTACTAATTTTATAAGTTTTATCGCTTGAGAGGTTATTAACTAAAAAAAATACAATAAGGTTAAAACCTTTGAATTTGGTTTTGAGAGTGATACTTTATAAGTGATTATAACAACCTCATTTAAATTTGTTAAGAAATATTCTTTTTAAAAATATTTCTTGATTGGTTGTTATTATTATAAAATGATTCCCAACATCATCATGTTTTTATAATCTTTTTTAACTGTCATTACAATGGTCATGTTTTTATAACTTTTTTTAATTGTCATTACAATGGTCATTTGACATATTATCAGTTGCCAACACTGTGATATCTCTTAACCTGAACCAACAAAAGGGGCCTCAAGCAGATAAATGGTTGAATTAGTTTCTTCCTATCTAATAGCATTTAAAAGGAATTAAAAATAAGATCTTGTTTAAGCATTTCATCGAGCACTTGGTGTGCATAATCAAACTTGTCACATTTTAACAACATATCATTGGTTTTTTTCTTTATTCATACTATCATTCAGTTTTTTCAATCTAAACATATCTAAAGCTTCAAATCTTGAATTAAAAGTCAAAAAAGAAATAGTTGCTATCAAGAAAATTAATACGAACTTGAAAAATTACAAACCTTGAAATAAGCAGATCACTAATCAGTTGAATCTTAGATTACATATAAAACCTAAGCTGCAACAACACCATTCACGTGTATTAGACAAATCAACAACAGATCAAGGAAAACCTATAATGGAAACCATTCAGAGGACGATACTTGAGGTTCCTTGCAATCGCTGCCATTAATAGAGAGGAAAAAGAAGATTAGGATTGAAAAGAAGGAAATAACGAAGAAAAATAAGGGATTGGAGATATTTAAGGATCGACAACATCAAAGAAGGAAGGTCTAAAAGATGAATTGGTATGGAATCTTGTATTTAAAAATTAATCGATGATGTTTAGGAATAGAGATGATGAAAACCGAAATTGCATCAAATTCGGAAGCTGAATTATACGGATACATATTTGATTACAGATTTTATATTTAATGATGAATTGGCGTGAGAAAATAAAGAGAATTGCTGGAGAGATGGACACGTGGCAGAAGGCAGGTCTAAAAGATGGACATGTGGCTTCTAGGAGAGGTTTTTATTAAGAGTTGAGATTTTTTTTATCTACTACAAACATTAGAATTCATTCCAATTCTATTTTCTTACTCTCCCATCATGGAACAAAATCCAAACACTACACCAAATCGAAATCCAAATCAAGATGGTCTGTTCTCACTATATCTGAATTTTGAGTCTCCATAAGTGGCTTCATGAACTTGCTCCAAGGCTCCCAAATCCCCCAATAAAACCTTTTCCAACCCAAAGTTATTTCCATCAAACTTTTTACTTTTTACAAACCACAATTCTGATTTCAACAACCAAAATTTTAAACCTAACAATCTCCACAACCCCATCGGAATCTCCCAATGAAATATTTGACACACAATTCAATGAGCACCGACGACTTTCAAAGAAAAAAGTGAAAAAAAACAAAGTCACCTCAAACGGGACCCAAGGCTTGGGATGAAAATGAAGAAACTGCTTTAGCACGTGCTTGGATTTTCGCCTCTCGAGACAATAGAATGGGAAAGCTCAGTCGAAAGAAATGTTTTAGGAGCTGATTATAATAATTCACTTCCACGATGAAGTTAAATGTGTTTTGCTAGAATAATGATGCGTTTTCTTTAACAGAATGTACAACCTCCTAAAAAACCAACAAAAAAGTCGGAGTAGCGACCTCAACTCTCTCGCTCAAACAATAGCGAGCATCCCAAAAAACCACATAAACCTTTTCGGTATATCAATGTTTGGCATGAGTAGAAGAAAGAACCGAAATGGCTGATTCAACCGGAAGTTCAAACGCAATCCATAACAAACGACCCAAGAATTCTAAAACAAATAGCTACACCCAACAATCAGACATGCTAAACATAATCAACCTCAACGATGAGACCGACGACATTCAGGTGGAGAACTTCCACGATGACTGGTTTGAAGGGATAGAAGGATCGGGATCGGGTCAAAAAAGTTCGAACCCAAATCACTTATTTGTATACATGCCATTTGGGGTTAACAAGAAAATATATACCAAAGTAGGTTAGCAAGCAACCTAATATCCCATATAAACTATTTGAGTGGATAAAATCATAAAATAAGTAATTGATAAAATAAGTACCACACTTATTAATGATGATAATTTGTGGATGGGCGTGCGGAGGTTGATTTAACGTATAGAATTGGAGAATATCTCCAATTGTTTATTGTAACGAGTTTATATGAGATATTATTTCATATTTGGCTGATATATTTGATTGTTTGATTTATTTGATTATTACAATATTTAACATATATGAGTTTATGAATTGAATGAGATTGTTGATTAAAAACACATGTAACTCACTAGTCTGCGGACTAACATAGTGGTGCTATGTACTCATGTGAAAAGGATTGAGACACCACTGCTTGGAGAGGATTTTTTGGGAAAATTAGGGTTTGTGGTGGAGATCTGGATACCGACTTGGATCATGATATCACTTTCCGTACTGATATTTCTACCCTATGCATGGGTTACAAGAAATTCAACCTAGGATAATCCAAGTGGACACTTACGATTCTAGGCACAGAAATCGTAAACCAAAATGCTAGAGGATTCTGTGAAAGTATGATGAAAAACGAGAGCTTAAGATCGTAACCCCCTTCTGAAAACCCCGGACCCCGGACTAGTCGTCGAACCGGCTTCTAATTCGATCTTATACATGCGTGCACTTCGCACAACCCCGTACATATAATAGAGTACAAATTATGAAGCCCCTTAGCTCACATGTTAGTTCCAGTTACTTAAAATGACATGGTGACACTAAAATCACCAACAGGATTTTGGAGGAATAGAAAAGATGATATAATCTCTTCATTTTTACTATGGTTGTGGATAATGATTTTGTAACACCAGGTCGTAACAACTCTGATATTTTAAAATGTTTTTGTTAAAGTCCATTTTTACTATGATAGAGTATTATGGTAGCAATGCAACCACAAAAATTTTTGAGTTTTGAAATTATGGGTGTTATGCAGAGATGTTGCTCGACCACCTCCTGAGTTGCCCACTTTCATAGTGTTCTTTCTGGAAAAAACATTTTACTTCTGAAGCGAAAGATTCCGAATCAGAATCGGAGGATTATGTGGTTTCAGATTTTATAGAGGATTATGGACTATGAGTGGGTGATGATGGTGGTGGTTTTGGGAAGGATGTGAAGTTGGGTTCGAGTTTGTTCTACTTTGTGGATTATTGATCTCAGGTGGTGAGGAGAGTGATGGAGTCGATGAATCCATTTGTTATTTCTTCAGCTTCCTCACGAATTTCTCAATTTATATATCAAAATCTATTGGCTTTTCCAAAAACCAAACTACACCTAAGACTTTGTGTTATGATTATTTTCAGCTTTCATTTTCACTGCACCTTAGTACCTCCTCCTCACTTTCTCCATCTTTCAAACCGTGAGATACTTATTTTTTATCTTTTAATATATTATTTTCGTATAGAATTTATTACCTAGCCATTGCAGATAATAACTTGAAGCTAGTACTAAAATGTTTCCAACTTATCTACTATATAATAAATTTGTTTTTTCATTCGATAAAGTTGGTGATAAAGCTTTTTCTCCTTAATTTATCTCTTCCAATCAGGTGTTGACATACGTTCTTGCAACTCAATCTCGACATCCTCGTTGTTGAAGTCAAAATGCATGGCAACATGCATACGATGATATTGTATAATTGTTCGAGTCAAGTGTCATTGTCCATCTAAGAAAACTTGTTTGATGATGTATTTGAGGCACCGTCGCCCATTTTTAGTATTTTCTAAGAACATCCCATATGCATCCGTGGACAAACGATGTCCCATTATTTTCCAAACGGTATTCTACTTCACTACTACACCTTAAAAAATGTAAGGATATCCCTACATTTCGTTTTAAGTCCCTCCATTTTGAGTTGAGTTGGCATGGTGGTGCGAGCAATAGGCATCATAGCACATTGCAATATGAAAATGATCCTTAAAAAGTACCCATAGTTTGCGTGTTAGTTAGGTTCATTATCCTCTGAGATTTCGATCTGCATACATGCTAATGTGGTTTCCTCAGTCGTAGTCCATGGTTGAGGGTAGTCAGACGAATATGAGTAGTAGTCACAGTTGTTTTAGATCTCTTATTTTTAGAGCTCTTCACTAATCATGATGGTTCATGTTGGGTTTCTCATACGGTTTTGGTAAGGATTCAGCTTGGGGATGGTTATGTGAATTTTACGTAGGAAAATAAGAAGGGTTCGAAGAAAAATGTGAAAGGTTGTTTCCACTCCGAAAAAGATAATAGTGAGGATGGAAACATGTGATTGAATTGCAGGCAATATGGTAGTTATGAAGAAGGGAAAATGACTTAAAAGCCCATCGAAGTTTTCAAACCCTTCAAAAAACCCAATTATGTTTTGTCTGTTCAAGAAAACCCAACGAACTAACCTTTTGTCTAAAGAAACCCAACTAACTTACACTTTCGTTCACTTCTCATTTAGGGTCAACTGGCTAATGAAAGTCAACGAATGACATGACTTATGACGTGTAATTAAATATCGGAAAATGACTTGTAAGACCAACGAAATTTCAAAACCGTTCAAAAAACTCCAATCATGTTTTGTTTGTTGAAAAAAAACCCAACAAACTTACGCTTTTGTTCAATTCTCATTAGAGGCAACCAGATTCATTACGTATACAACTAGTTGACAAATGACATGACATTATATTTAATGACATGGAATAAACAGATTAGAATTGCCCTTTATATATCAATTTAGGGCTTGGAGAAGAGAAAAACGAATGGCGCCTGTGTTCGATCTTTTGTAATAACTACTTCTTGTTCTTCCTCTCAATCGTTGATGTCCAACTCAAGATCTACAAAGAAGATATTTGATGATGAAAACCCTTGTGGATGTGGACGCCCTTCTTGGATTTTGGACATCTAGAACGGAGGATCATCAAAAAAGTTCAGGGCTTGTTCGAACAGATGAGTAAGTGTAATTGAAAGCTTTATCATGTCCATATTCTATCTATTTGTTTGGTTTCTTTCAAAAAAAACTTATTAAAATGGACATGCTAAAGCTTTCAATTACACTTACCCATCTGTTCAAACAAGCTAGCCCTAAAAATTATCTTTGGATGATCCTCCATTCTAGATGTCCAAACCCGAGAAGGACATCTACATCTACAAGAGTTTGCATCATCAAATATCTTATTTGTAGATCTTGAGTTGGACATAATGATTGAGATGAAGAAGAAGAAGTAATTATTACAAGAGATCGAACACAGACATCGTTCATTTTTCTCTTCTCCAAGCCCTAAATCAATATATAAAGGACAATTTTAATATGTTTATTCCATGTCATTAAATATAATGGCATGCCATTTGCCAACTAGTTGTACACCTAATGAATCTGGTTGCCTCTAATAAGAATTGAAAAAAAAACGTAAGTTCGTTGGGTTTTTTTCAACAAACAAAACATGATTGGAGTTTTTTGAACGGTTTTGAAACTTTGTTGGTCTTACAAGTCATTTTCCGATATTTAATTACACGTCATAAGCCATGTCATTCGTTGACTTTCATTAGCCGGTTGACCCTAAATGAGAAGTGTAAGTTAGTTGAGCTTTTTTAGACAAAAGGTTAAATTCGTTGAGTTTTTTTTAACAAACAAAACATAATTGAAGTTTTTTTGAACGGTTTGAAAACTTCGTGGGCCTTATAATTCATTTTCCCTTATGAAGAATCAAAATGGAAAACATTTTCATACGATGGTGTGAATGAAATACTAAGTCAAGGTTTGTTATGGTAGGATGTTGGGGTGGTGCGTTTTGACGGATTGGTTAGGTCTATTTAATTTTGGTGAAAATTAGAAAGAAATTTATGTTGAAATAAAAGAGAATTATAGAATGGTTGTATAAAAGATCGACGATTGACAAATGTCTTATTTTGAAATAAAGGAGAAATGGGAACGATTTCTTCACCATGACGGACTCTTCAAATGGTTATGCAGCCTAAAAGAGTATGGTCTTCACGAAGATGCTGTACCAACTCAGCACCCTGCAGATTGTGGGGTATGTACAATACATATTTTAAGTCGTTGGATACTTGATTGACCTTTTATAAAACTTTTACAATCTAATAGTATACAAAAACTTATTCTGTCTACAAAAACTTATTCAAATAGTAATAAGCTTTTAAAATACTACAACCGAAGATGTTATAAGTGGGGGACATTCTCCAATATAAAATGTTATATATGTAAACACTTATTAATATATAATAAATATCTTTATAGAAAGCTAGCCGAAGTTATTTTAAACCAAAATAAAGTAATATAAATACTTAAATTGTTATGTTGAAATGAAATGATTTCAATATATTATATTTTGGAAAACAACAAAATATTGATGCGAATGGCATGTGATTTTAATAACTTTTAATGCTACACGATAAAATAAGTGTCCATGTCGTCGCTCTTTATATTTATTATCTTCTCTAGGAATCTTTTCACATGATGTATCCGTTCTTGTCTAAGCTTAATCTCTCATTATTAGATCCACAAAACATCGACTAGTCTTGACGAATTCCTGTCAAGAAACTCACTAGATTAATTATGTGCACAGATTAAATTGGACCAGTCTTTTTTGCCCTCCTACGGATAATTTTAACATGCATATTTTCTATGTTGATAAGTAAAACCAAGAAAGTGATATTTTATTGATAACATATCAAATTTGCACATGCTTACCCAAGATCAGACACAAAAAAAAAGGGTGAACGTGTTGATAGATCCACATTAGTACTCTTTTAACAAAAGACTCTCCATTTCTTCGCTAAAGATGGACAGAAACGTATCCAGTTGTTTAGCAGGAAGGGAGACACCGATTTCAATATCAGCATGTGACTCTTTGGAAGCGTTAACAGAAATCGAACTATTGTAGTCTATTGATATGGTCTCATGCTTTTTTGGCTTCCCCCATCCAAAATCCACATCGTAAATCTTGGTCCTTGGTGTTCCTGACACACTAAGCCCCGGAATTGGCATAAAGGCTGTCTTAATCAGCGTTTCCCCATCTTCAATCACTCCATTCTTCTTCTTAAGTGTTTCACTTAAAGCCTTTCCAAATAATTCAGCAGCAGTAAGAAATCCATTTTCGCCTGCTAAGATTGTGCTTTTTATTGTTGGTGTAATAGATGCCCCTACACAGTTACCAAAATAAGTTTGAGGAACTGGTGGATCGAGGCGCGACCTCCAATCCACAGCACAAACAAACCTTTCTAGATCATCGTCTCCATTCCTTTCTCCAATAAGAACATGTGATTTGGCCATGCAACGCCACATATAAGCACATGCCACCGAAAAAGATGATACGTATTCCAGTGTTGGCAGTTGAGTGGATACCCATTTCTTAAGCCGATTGATGTGTCTTGGGTCAATACAATGGTGGCCCTAACTTTATCTGTAGGGCTAACAAGGTGAGGAGGCTGGTATTCCATATTAATAGCTGGAATCCCGGGTATATTTAAGCAGAGTTCATCCAAGGAGCTCGGGTATGTAATCACTCTTTCATAAAACGGTAAAGATTTACTAGCTAAGAAAAACTCATCTGTACCATGTTTAGCAATCGAGCTCCAAGCCTTGAGGAAGTTATACCTTGTGCTCGCATCACAAAGGGAGTGGTGGTTGGTGAGCCCAATAGAGATGCCTGAGTTAGGAAAAAGTGTAACTTGCACAGAAAAAAGAGGGACAGTAAGGTAGTCGGATACTTTTGTGGCACGTCCCAACAGAGGTACAAGTGGATAAAACATGTCACAGTTACGAGGATGATATCCTGTAAGATCGTTGAAATCAAGATCACACTCCACAAAGGTAACCGAAACAGAGTCACCCTCTACATGACGGATTTCGGGTTTTCTTTCCCCATTTGGTTCAGGAAACAAAATTAAGTTGCCTGCAAATGGGAAGAAGTGTTGAAGAGTGATTGATAATGAGTGTTTAAGGTTTGGAACAACTGTTTCCAAGAAATGGTCTCTAGAGTGAGGGAACTCATAAAAGAAAACCTGGTGGATAGGGAAGAAGGGTATCCATAACATGTCGAGGAACGTAAGCGGCAGGGTCCTTTCCCCGACGGTGGCAGGTGGCGGAGACACTCGACTGTTCTCCAGGACGGTCAGCATATCGGTTGTGGTGTTTGTTTAATTATTGGAGTGGTTTGGTTTATGTCAAAGTTTGCAGCGGTGGGCTTGTATAACCAATATCATCCATCGTAGGGAAACGTCATGACTGACGATAGCACCCTTAAATTTGCGCTCTTCGTCTGGAAACTATAGCTGTCTTTGAATATTTATTCCAATAGGACAAACCTCGAACCGTTTAAATACTTTTTTTTATCGACCAATAATTAGCAAACTTGAATAAGTTATTTGGATTTTCTGATTAAAAAAGATACTATTATATTATATAAACTAGTTTATAACCTGTGAAAACCGCGGTTATAAAACTAATTAAACTTTCATATTATAAAATCAAAATTATTAATCAATTATTTTAAATAAATCATTGACAAAATTGCAAAAATGGTCCCTGTAGTTGGCAAAATTATGTGGATTTGGTCCAAAATTAAATGTTGGTGCACCACTGGTTCAAAATTAGATCTTTTTATTGTTTTTGGTCCCTATACACTTAAAATGACCTTAATGCCCCTTATATTTGTTTTTTAATTTTTTTGTATTTATATAAATGTTTTTAATCAATTTAAAATGAGAAAAATGCCCACCCACATCTCT